GCACGCCGCCGTGCCCGGCCTCCCCGTGGCGAGCTCCAGGGTCCTGCCTGGGCTCGTCCTCCGTAGGGACTTCACGGCCTACTGCCCGGCCGAGGGGCCCCTGCGGGTCCTGCTCGTCACCGAGCCCCTCCGGCCCGCCCTCGCGGCCCCCGGCGTCGAGTTTGTCATCGACTCGGAGCGCCAGCATCAGGCTTCCCTTCGCTGGATCGCGAGGAGGGTAGAAGCCTTCATGAAACGCTTGCAGAGCAACGAGGTGAAGCTGTTGCTGTCGAGCCTGAAGCAGGAGGAAGTGGTTATCTACTATGCGGAATTACACGGGATATCCGTAGTAGAGTGCTTGTCATGGGAAGAAGTGGCCCTTGTCTGTGAAATCACCGGAGTCTCACCGTACGCACCGTTTGGTGGTGACGGACAGGGGGAGCTCACCGGCACCGCGGTGGCGGCGTTCTGCCAGCCCTTGCTGCTGGGTTCGAGGAGGTGCGCTCACGTTGGCTTCTCCAGCGCGTGTGCCTTCCAGCCCCACTGCCTGGTCCTCTGTGGGCCGGCCGACAGCGTGAATGAGCAACATGCTGCTGCTTTACAGGGGGCGTTCACAATGCTCCAGCAGCTATTTAAAACAGTCGATCAGAGGGGGGAAAGCCAGAACGATGCCTCCGAGGCTGGTGGCTGGCCTTTCTCAGGTACTCAGAAGCAACTCGTAATAGGAAATATTGCTTGTGATGGTAATCAGGTTTCTGAACATCAACTGAAAGCAGGTAACGATGAAACAGAGACCCAGATTGTAGACACTGGTTTGCAGGGAAGTGAAAATCCAACATGTGTGCAAGCAGACATGCAAATCCCATCAAATCCCGTCTCCCACATCAAAGAATTCAGTGTTGCCACTGAAGGAGATTGGTCTTCAGGAGATGTACAGAAACTCCATGGAAAATGTCAGCATCCAGGTGACATGCACGAGAACTATAAAAGTGATTTGCTTTTGGGCAATCATAACTGCAGCACTGCTGTGTTGCCAGCACTTAATGCTGATCCAGTTGCTGTGTGTGAACGCCCAGGTGTTGGCAAAGACCTAGAAGAAACAAGGTGTGATATAGTTCCACTTAAAGGTGGAGAGAGTTGTGGAAGTGTTGCACAGAATGATTCCAACTCCCTCATAGAAACAGGGTCGGTTTTGCCTGTAGGAGGTTACTTTGAAATCCTGTTGCATTACTATATTCAGTGTTACTCAAAACAGCTTCAGCAGCCAGAGGTAACTGTCGTATCCAATGTGGTTGCTGATGCTTTGCTAAGTATTCCCAAGGCCTTGTATGGGACGACAGAACGAAATGGCTTTACCAAGTTCTACCTCAAAGTCATAAATGCACTCAGGAAAAATGAGCCGCTGCCTGTGAAGGAGAAGGGCTTGGAATCAGTGTATTGCAAATATCAGCTCGTCATCTCGGTCCTCCACTGTGTTACAGAGCTTCTTTCTGTGGATCTGATCATTGGTGTTAGGCGACCACTGCAAAACCCTGAGGATTGTGACTCAGAAGATGATCTCTGAAATCATTAATAAAGAATGGTTTTGATTATGTATTTTTGTGTGTCTTCTTGTCAGATGTATGTGTCTCAAAATTCAGGGCTAGAGACTGGAAGATCTCTCTTTAGGTCCATAGACCTATTGTGCTACTTGCCTCTTCAAAGAGAAGGGAGAAAAGCTGACAAGCTGAGATTTGTGGAAGGCTGGGTTCTGGACAGCACAAACTGGAATTTTCAGACATTGGAAGTGCCAGTGATTTCCCCTGCAGAAGGTGTGAGGTGCCATTTCCACCCACGTGCAGAAGACCTGCACATGCAAGTTCCAGGCAAGGGTGGACTTGGCCTCCTTGGGCAGTTTGAGTCTTCCTGCAAGTCAGATGTCAGATGGTTTTCCTGGCATGTTTAAAAGCTGCTGCTGTGGTGTGAGCCACTGAACCTACAGGTTATAAGCAGGTTTTTAAGCCTTCGTAATGGGCTGGATTGAACGTGATTTCAGATGAAAGTAGTTTGTGTATATTGTAGTTGTGAATAAAACAGGGAAAACCTGACTGGCTTTAGCGGGTTGGGTGCTGGGGGCAGGCAGTGGTCGGTCCCTGCAGTGCAGCCCGGTGAAGAGTTTTCTCATCTGGGAGGAGATGCAGTTTTTATACTCCACTGAGTTCGCTTAAGTCAAGCTAGTAGAATTAAGAACACTTGTATCATGACTGGCTGGCATTTGCTCTGGCAAATTAGTTTATGTGACGTTATTTAGTTCAACTATTAATTTTACCTATTCTGGGTTGAGCTGTGCTGCTGTAAAAGTCTGTGTACACAGCCTCTCTACACAGGCAACAATGCAGTTTTGTGTAAAAACCCGAGACATTTTTTCACTTCAGACTTTGATCGTTTGAGATTTTATTCTGGGTTTGGTTCATTTTTTTTCTTCTTTTATTCTTTTTTTCCCCCAGGTTTTTCACACTACTAAGATTTGGTCTGAGCTCAGTGCCACTTGGATGTCAATATACCTCCATTTGTGCTGCATCTTAAAAACTACTGGTTTGGTAGAGGAGATTTTTGAGTAACTGAGCAGCAGCAGCTGGTAACAGTGTCTCTTCGGTTCTCTATGTGGCACTATTGCAGAACACTTAGAATAATTGGAGTTTTTTTAAGTCTGCCATTAAATAAAATTTAGTGTGGATATTTAAAATCGTGGGCACAAGATGCTTTTATCTGCTATACCTGAGATGATTACAACTGGAAATCAGAATTTTTCTCCATTAATTTATGTTGTTAATTTCCCTTTTCCAGTTTCTTCAGAAGAGTCTTATCTACCAAAGTTCTTTCAGGCATTTTGGCAGCAATGCTTCGTCTGACTGCGACTTTCTGGTGAAAGTTTATATACATTCTTGATAGTAGTATAAAATACTGTGGTTTTTTTTTCAGAATAAAACTTTAGAATAAAGCGTAAAACTTTAATGTAAAGTGTCTTTACACTAAAAAAAAAAGTTTTTTTAATACACTTTTACACACTTCATACGAAAAACAGAAACTCGGTGTTCACTGGGGTGATTTCTTTAACGAATAATGCCAATGGCATCCTGGGGTGCATTAGAAAGGGTGTGGTTAGTCAGTCAAGAGAGGTTCTCCTCCCCCTCTATTCTGCATTGGTGAGGCCCCATCTGGAATATTGTGTCCAGTTCTGGGCCCCTCAGTTCAAGAAGGACAGGGAGCTGCTGGAGAGAGTCCAGCGTAGGGCTACAAAGATGATTAGGGGAGTGGAGCATCTCCCTTATGAGGAAAGGCTGAGGGAGCTGGGTCTCTTTAGCCTGGAGAAAAGGAGACTGAGGGGTGACCTCATCAATGTTTACAAATATGTAAAGGGTGAGTGTCAGGAAGATGGAATTAAGCTTTTTTCAGTGATGACCTCTGATAGGACAAGGGGTAATGGGTGCAAATTGGAGCATAGGAGGTTCAAGGTGAATATCAGGAAAAGTTTTTTTCCTGTGAGGGTGACGGAGCACTGGAACAGGCTGCCCAGAGAGGTTGTGGAGTCTCCTTCACTGGAGTCATTCAAAACCCACCTGGATGCCTTCCTGTGTGATGTACTCTAGGTGGTCCTGCTCTGGCAGGGGGGTTGGACTAGATGATCTTTCGAGGTCCCTTCCAACCCCTATGATTCTATGATTCTATGAATAACTAGGGACAGTAATTATTATTTTTTAAAATAATTTTAGTGGGTGCAGATGTGAGGGGGAATTAAACACGGAGGAAAGGAAAGAAAACCACGTTCTTGCTTTTACCACCTGCCTTCAGTAGCTGCTGGACGTGAGGGGTCCGGTGGGAGCGAAGGGGAGACCCCGGTGTGGCAGAGCTGGAGTTTGGGAGCTGCCCTGTTGGCCCCGCTCCGGAGCTTCCCGCAGCCCTGCGGGTTCTGTGTTCCACCGAGGCAGTTTTGCTCCTGCACAGGTCTCTGCGTGCTCTGGTCAGTCTGCTGACCGACGTGCTGGCCAGAGGCGCACCGTTTCCCTCGTGACCGTCCCACAGTGGCGGCGCAGGGCGGGCGAAGCCTGGTGGCACTGGGGCTTGTCTGCAGAAGCTGCTTGTGTATTCTGAAGCAAAGTGTTCTCTAAATGCAGGTAAAATAAAGAGAATACTGTATCACTTTGCGTTATCTTGTACTGTCTATGTAGCTGCACACTTGCAGATTTACTGCAGTTTTTTGAAAAAGGTTAGAACTAAAATTTTGTTAAGTGAATGGCCTTCTGGCTGTTTGATTTAAATCGTTTCATTCTTATTGAGCAGAAAGTCCAAAAATTTTGCCATATACAAACCTCTTTTGTATGCTAGAGACACAAGGGAGAGTTTTCAAATGATGATTATATAAAACTTGTTTTTCTGACCTGTTTCTGGTGAAACCTCTTGACTCTGAAGGCTTTATGAGTCAGATGCTGTATTTCATTGACTTCTCTGTCCTTTTATGAATGATCAATTTTCCTTTTTGAACTAGTGATTCCCTGTTTTGAGCAGAGAAGTGGCACGCCTGTCCCTGCCAGTCACTGCTTTGTGCTGGGCTGCTGTGGTGGGCGCTCATTCAGCATACGGCTGTTGGGTTTCCAGCCCTGGAGCCTAAGTGCCTTAAGTGATGCACATCAGCTCAAGGGGAAGAAAGCATTAACTTAGTCTTTTGGGGGAAGAGCACATTTACTTCTGGATTCAGCTCGCTCTTACCTTCAGGAGTCTTCTCCAGTAATGAGCATGGAACTGTAATCACAGAAAACATTTTGGGTTCACTGCTGTCCCACCTCCTCTTTAGCTAAGCGAGAGGCTGTTGGCAGCCGTGAGAGGCGGCGCCCAGGGCCGCAGCTCCGGCGCTGTCGGGCCCTTCCTCACTGCCCGTGTTTCTGACCCGCTTCAGCAGCTGCCCCAGACCCGTGGGGACGACCCCAGTTACCTTGTCCCCCTACTCACCTGCTGCTGCTCCTTGGCACCTGAGCCCTAGGTATGCGATGATTCAGGGTATCTCACACTTGCCCCATGGTTTAAAGCTACCTGTAAATGTAGCTGGCCCTCTGACAGGTGACATGGGTACAATCCCGAGAGTGATCTCTTGACACAGTGGCAGGGACAAAGGGGTTACCTGGGGAAGCTTGGGAGAAGGTATTTACTGAGCCAAAACCACAGGGAGCGGTACGTTTGGGTGTGCAATAAGATTGCAAAAGCCTACAGGTTTTTCTTGTTGAGCTGTTTCCCAGCGATTATTTCTGTTTTGTGCTATTCTATTGCTTTTACATTTCTAAATATGGATTGGCCTCCACGCAAAGCAAAAGTTGGGAATGGCTGGACGTGTGTGGACTTTGGTCCAAACTTGAAATATAATGTAAAGTACAAGGATACTGGTGTTAATAGCCTAAAATAAAAAGAATGGTTTTAGAAAAATCTGGATGTTTAACTCTCCTTTCTGCAGCCCTTGGCAAACCTACGTTCTACCCCACATGAAATCCATCCGAATATCTTGAAGGTGCTCACCCTAGCCACAAGGAGTGAAGGTGTATTGTAAGCAAGGTAATCCCACTTGTCAGGTAGCAGATACGCATATACAGGCAGGTAGGGTTTTTTTGTTTCTTTTTTTTTTTAATTTAAAAATACAAGTTTTAAGACTCACGTGTAGGAATGTGTGACTCAGTTGGCACTGCTTCTTGCACACGGCTCTGGAGAACAGGAATAATCTATTTACAGGACAAGGACACCTTGATTTTATTTGTTGATTTGGGTGGAGGTCAAGTCTCAGCAGACTTCTACAGGTGCTTGGAGCACACTGAGACAGCCTCTGTCACCCAGTGCCCCTCCAGCTGCCTTCCCCCAGGGGCTCGCTGCCCAGCACCTCCCTGGGACCTCCTCGTTGACCTCCAGCCACACCAGCTCCCTCTTTACCAAATGGGTAATTGCTTAAGCTCTCCAGTGGAAGTTAGGCAACCTAAATATAACCTTGTATTTTCATCCACACTTAGTTATTACTGACCCCCAGCCTTTCTGGCAGCTTTACAGAGAGTACTGCTAATAGGAACCAGGCGCAAGAGAGAATATTAATTGTGTCCCAATTAATAGAGTTAATTAAGAAATTAATCCAGGAGCAGGAGAACGCAATATTCTGTTTTGGAGCATAACTGTATAGTGGCATAACTCTGGTAATTTTACATCATTTCTTTTGTTATCTTTATAACAGTCATCTTCAGAATCCACAGGTGGGTGATTAATCGTAACATGTGAGAAGATTAAGGAAGATTAAATTCTTCACTTACATATATATCCTGGCCTTCACTAGAATTACGTTCATCTGAGCCTGTACTTAACTTGCTTTTTGTTATGTAACAAATCTGCTATTAGTGGTACAGGCTTCCATCTTTGTTTCCTGAATTTATTTCTACATTGTCGATGTTAGTCTGTCCCCTTGTGTATTTTTTGGTGAGGTTCTTTTAAATCTGGTCTTCAGAGAAAAAGGATTTCAATGTTCAGTTGCAAAAATGTCTTTAGTTTAATTATCTTGCA